ATTTTTACATTACTTGTAATTGGTAACTCAAATTTGAATTTGTCCCAATAGTCCAAACTTTGGCATGTCGGTCACTTGGTCAATCATTCGGCAATAAAGTGACAGTCGTAATCGACAAGAGTAACAATCACGATAGACAAATATTGCACTAATCATTCAGATGATCGTCCAAACAATTGACCAACATGTGCAAATTTAAACAATTTAAATAAATTTAAATTCGAATTACCAGCTAATTTTATATTCCATCATCATCTACGATCGATGTTAGGAAAAAAGTACTACTTTAATTTAATGAAAGTACTTTCCTTTAAGAGCATCATCATCAAGTTTTTCAAAATCATTTTTTAGCTAATAAACTTCAAAAAATCAGTTCCATCAAATTCGCTTGCAGCTCATCAAAATTTATGTTTGCTATAGTATCTCGCTACAAGAAGCGAAGTACTATTCATCACTAAATTAGTGTTATCAGATGTCCATCCGAAAGTCCGACCGGACATCCAACCAGTCAACGGCATTTTTTTTTATAGCATTTTTTAAGAATTGTTTGGTTACTAAATTATCAATTTAATAAAAAAATAAAGACTAACAAACACAATAAGAAAATAATATTTTAATAAAAATAAGTTAGACTAGAGAGTTTGATACAGTAGGTGCTAAGAGCATCCTCATCAAGCTCTTCAAAATCATTTTTAGCTAATAAACTTAAAAAAATCAACTCCATCAAATTCACTTACAGCTCGTCAAAATTTATGTTTGCTACAGTATCTCACTACAAAAAGCGAAGTATTGTTCATCGCTAAATTAGTGTCATCCGATGTCAACCCGGAAGTCCGGCCTGTCAACTGGTCAACGGCAATTTTTTATTTTTTTTTCATTTTTTAAGAATTGTTTAGCTAGTAACTTATCAATTTAATAAAAAAAGAAAGACTATCAAACACAATAAGAAAACAATATTTTAATAAGAATAAGTTAAAATAGAGAGTTTAATGCAGTAGGAGAGGTGACTAGCTAAAATAGTAAAGTAGCTTTAATTTGACTAAAAATTTGAAGAGGTTGGTGTGGATGTTCTAAGAGGTGACTAGGTAAAATAGTAAAATAGTTTTAATTTAACTAAAATTTTGAAGAGGTTGTTATGGATGCTCTAAGGGTTTGGCTTTCCTCCAATTCGTGATCAAGTTGGAGGATATTGTTGGGCCCATGAGGGCCCCATCACAGATCCTGTTTTGAAAATCTGAACTGTTGAATGTGTAGAACTCGTCGAGTGCTATATACCTGTAAAAAATCATGGTGATCGGATGTTAATAGCTACGTGATCAAATCAGTTTTGTATAAATAAAAAAAATGAACGGTGAAAAAATAAACAATTGACAAAAATCTAATCCAATGAAATAACTATCGATATTCGATCAACGTGATTTTTTACAAGTATATAATACTCGACGATTTTTACACATTGAACGGTTCGAATTATCAAAACGGGACCCGTGGTGAGCCATCACAAGCTCAACAACACTCTCCAATCCGACTACAGATTGGAGGGAAGCCAATCCCTTTCCTTAACCCCACCCCAAAAAACAAATCAGTCAAAAAAGTCAAGTAATGTTAAGGATCCAAATATTTTATCAAATATCTCACGTGAATGTGAAATCCACATGAAACTCACATAATATATATTCCACATTTATATAAGACATTTAGATGTTTGACATGCACTAAAACATTAAATATCAACATTAACATAGCACAGAAGAGATTGAGGTTGTTTTGGTCTTCTTACTACAAATAGGATCTAATGAAATAATTAAACAGAATATGAATTGTAGAGATGGCAATTGGAACCCGGCCCGACGGGGACCCGACCCCCCGACCCCAAATTGAACGGTTATTCCCTGAAAAATACCGCCGACGGGCCGGGGATGGTGTTAAAAAATGTATCCCCGGTGATGCTCGGGCCGGGGACCGGGATACATGTTTCAGTCCCGGACCCGACCCGACCCCGACCCCAATCCCCGCCCCGTATAAACCCCGATGTAAAATTACTATTTTACCCCTCATTATATATATCTGCGCATATAGGGTTTGGTTGAAGCTATCTGCTCTCACTTTTACACACAAAGCACGCTGCTCTCTCTCTCTCTCTCTCTCTCTCTCTCTCTCTCTCTCCACCGTTGCCAAGTGGTTAGGGTTTCGCCTCCCCCTCTCTCTCTCTTTTACACAACGAACGACGGCTGATGCGATCCCGTCACTGTCGATCCTCCCTCACTGCTGCTCTCTCTTTCTCTCCGCCGTTGCCGCTCCTCCATCACCGCAAATCTTCCGTCGCTGCTGGTCGTACCTCACCGCCGAGCATCCTCAGATCTGTTATTGTCCTATTAGTGATCTGTATAGAGTTTAATAGATTGTGTTAATAGAATGTATTTATTTATTTATTTATTTTGATCTGTACAGATTTTCTACAAATTGTGTTAATCTATCAGAGTTTAATAGATTGTGTTAATAGAATGTTTAATAGATTGTGTTAATAGAATGATCTGCTACTGATCTGTTATTGATATGTTATTGATCTGTTATAGATGTACAGATTTTAATAGATGTATAGATTTTCTACAAATTTTACTGAATGATTCTACAAAATGTCTGTAATTCGGGGATTTGGCGGGGTCGGGGATACCCAATCCCCGATCGGGGTCGGGAGTGGGGAGGCGATGGGGTCCTCGTCGGGGATCGGGGGCGAGGACAGGGAATTTCGCACTATCGGGGATCGGGGACGGGGAGTGTGGTCCCCTGCCCCGCCCCGCCCCGTTGCCATTCCTAATGAATTGGAAGGAATAAAACTTTTAAAAAAAGAATTTATCAAAAACACTCCCTTAAAAATTTAATGAAACTTGAAGGTTCAAAAATTCTTAGTTAAGACTTATGGAGTATAAATTTATAAATTAAAACTTGTGTAAATGCTCCATAAATAAAGTCATAAAGTTCATTTTTTTTCCTAATCAAAATATGAGTCTTTTCTTTTATTTTTTTGTAATTTTTATCGAAAAGCTAGTAATATTACCAAACAATGCCTTGTTCTTTACAAGAGCAAAAAAAAACAGGGGGATTTGGTGATAACCCCCTCACTATCTAATTTATCTTTCAAAATGACAAGAATGATATAAGTACTTTCAAAATTCCCTAATATTTTAAAACTTGTTTCTTTTACTATATTACCCTCATATCTATCAGCTCTCCTATTAAGCCATCTTCACTGTGTATTTCAGAGTAAAATTTTACTCTGTATAAAAGTAAAATTTTACTCTGAATAAAAGTAAAATTTTACACTCTGAAACTAAAAGTAAAATTTTACTCTGTATAAAAGTAAAATTTTACTCTTAAAAACTAGTAAAATGTTAAACTCTATACAAAAATAAAATTTTACTCTGTATAAAAGTAAAATTTTACTCTGAAAAACGAGTAAACTGTGAGACTCTGAAACTAAAAGTAAAATTTTACTCTGTATAAAAGTAAAATTTTACTCTGAAAAACTAGTAAAATGTTAGACTCTACACAAAAATAAAATTTTACTCTGTATAAAAGTAAAATCTTACTCTGAAAAACGAGTAAACTGTGAGACTCTTAAGCTAAAATTAAAATGTTACTCTGCACAAAAGTAAAAAAACGAAGGCAGTGTTTGTGGCGGCTGAAGTGTTTGGCAATGACCACCTCTTGATAGTAAAATTTTACTGTCATTCTAACACCAGAGTAAAATTTTACTCTAATTCTCTCAAACAAAAAACAGAGCAATAGAACAAGAGTAAAATTTTACTCTTATTATCTGAAACAAAAAACAGAGCAAAATGAAATTATATCAAAAACAACAAAAATAAATCAAAAAAAAAAAAAACAAACAAACAAACAAAAACAAAATAAATTAATCAACAAATCAACATATCTAATTGAGAAGAAAAACTTCTAAAACTCGATCAACAATCACAAATCTCAATGAAAAGAATACATGTGTTCAATAACACTCATACACATAAATATATATATATATATATATATATTCAAAACTAAGCAATCAATTCATTGCTCTTCGGAGTAATAGCGATCTATTCAGAGACGATCTGTTTCTCCTCGTAGACGATCTCCTTCGATTCCGGCACTAGAGGACAATTTTCCGACCCGTAGTTGATTTCGTTCCCGATGTTCTTGATGAATTCATCATAGAGATCGATTTCGGCATTGTTGATCGCCAGAGTTTCACCTAATAACTGACCGGACTTGGCTAGGAGAGTGATGACGATGACGTCGACGGCGTTGGCGAGGTCTGAAGCTTCCAGATCTGAAGCTTAAAGGAGTTAGAGAAGGGAGAGAGGGAGGAGAAAGACAGAGAAGGTGGGGAGAGAAGAGTGGGTAGAGAATGTGAGAAAATTTAATTAAGGGTATAATAGTCTAATAAAATATTTAAATAATAAATTTTATCATTTATGCAAAATTTTATAATTATGAGGGAGTTTAGAAAGTATAATTTTTTTTTCAAAAATACTAGAGGTCTCAAAAATTCTACCAAAAGTTTTACCAAATGTCTCACATGAGTGTGGAACCCACATAGGACCCACATTGTGTGAATCCCACACCCCATGTAAGACATTTGGTAAAACTTTTAATAGAATATTTGAAGTATCTAGCATTACTCTTTTTTTTTTAGTCCTTTTAACAATAAAAGGAAGGTAAAAGGGGTTAGCCAAATTTCCCAAAAAAACACGTCTAAAAATGTGATTTATTATCTTGTCTTAGTTATTGATATAAGTTCATTTATAAATTATAGCAAAGAGAAGGAGAAACAAGAGAAATTGTATTTTAAGTGTCCTCCTTAAAAGAAGGAAGCTCCTCCCCAGTCTTCCTCTTGCAGTCCATCGTAACCAAAAGAAATTGATTTTTTTTATATAAACAAAATGCTGTACAAATCAACAATTCTTACTAACCGATATATCATGCAAAATACACAAAACTCGAACTCAAATAATTCTCCATGTTTTGGAGGCATGTCATTCATTTGTTTCAAATTGAATTTACTTACCCAAATATTTTGGAGACATTACTCATATTTTTGACATCACCAAAACTACTGCACTTTCAAAACATATTTCTGCCAATAGAAGTACAAACATATCAAGCTTGACCGACACCAGCCAGACCAAGCTTGCTACATCCACCGTGCGTTTCAATGAACTTGAGGAAAGCAACTTATTGTATTGAAAGAAGTGTTTCAAAGTTGTAAATCACTAAGCAACACCTCAAACAAATATTTATTCAACTAGAAAGGAACTTGAAGTATTGCAGTAAAGCTTGCACCTCCCTTAAAAAAATATAATAATAAAAAAAATTTGAAAAAACACAGCAGTAAGCTTCTACTTTAATAGCTAGAGGGGCTACTTGTAAGTTCAAAGAAAAAAGGAAAAGAGAAGAAATCTATATTTTATTTTTCCTCAAGGCGCCGCAGCACTGACTCTGCAAAGTTTTGTTGCCTGCATATACAAATGTACCAAAGAACTGAGTGATGTTTTCATACTTTATTTTTCTTCTTAACATTACATATCAGTTCGCCAACCTAACACATGAAAGAGAACAAAATGCAAGTAGTTACATAGAAATCCTATATTAGGTGACAAAATTTTGTTTGCAGAATAGTTCACAATTATTCATCCAAACCTAAAGGAAAAATAATATTATTTTATGTAGAGACAAAAACATGGAATACCAAGGCGATTCAGATCCTTAATGTCATTACTGAAGCTCAATGAAAATAAAAAAATCTCATAAAGGACTGACAACATAATCATAGCAACTATGCAACCAATTACGCATAACTGTTCAAATCTTTGAGAGCACCGCCTTTCACTAACCAGGAATAAAAGCTTGGAACAAGGCCATACATAAATCCTAAAATGAATAGGCAATGAAATCTCTCAAATGGGTAATGAAGTAAACAAAGCCAAGAAAATGCTACAAATATGACAATCAAGTAAATCAAAAAGAATATCACCATGCTTGGCAGGGCAGCACAACTAATCTCACTCAGGTTATGGACTTGGATCGATCTAAGATAACCTATGTACAACTGGCTTAATGAACTTCTTACAACATAACCACTAAACCAGAATTCCTACTTGCTTAGCTCAGAGTAGACATGGATGAAACCAAGATGGGATACATTGCGATCATGTTCAACTGGCTATAGCCTATAGGTGATACTTTGAGGATGTACACAGTCAACTTATGTTGTGTCAACGGCCATCTCTGAGAACCATACTAACAGCATAATACAAGGTTTAATCCACAGTCCAACTCATAAAACTTGAATAGACAATTAGACCAAAACAATTGCATGTGCTCAACATAAACAGTAATTAGATGATCAACTTACTTGCTCTCCCTATGCTTGGGGCTAGGGCGAGAGTACTTCAAATATCCATCCCAAGGAACCTTTTTGAGACCTGCTCGAACTGAAATAATGTCCCTGACCCTGTACAGGAGCAGCCGCATTGAAAAGCTAATCCTTATTGAAGATAGTTCTAAGATACATACCTTTAGTTTCTCCAATATCAACATTTATTTGACACAATTGAGGAAAAGATTACTCACCTCTCTGCAAATTCAATGGCCGTCTCTCCAGGCTTTAGACTTTGAGGTTCCAAGTACCACACATCACAAACAACAGCCCACGAAGTCATAAGCTGCAGTAAATGCATTGTGAAGGATTGCCTGCAAATAAGACATGTAATCAAGGTGTAAAACATCATAAGATCATATCTGGATTTTAATGCAAGTAACAGGTAAAGCTTCAATTCACCCAGACTTTTTTTTTTTTTTTTGGTTTTCACCCCCCACACCAGAGAGAGGATTATTCGTAGATATAGGCAACCTTGTATGCATGATCTTGATTTGGTGGGAAGACAATTGGCAAAATTAAGCTTCTGGTCATGGGTTTTCAGCCTTGGTGATATTAAACTTTAAAG